TTGACTTCCCCCTCAGTTCCAATTGTTTGTAGTAGATGCCTGTCCTCCTTGTATCCTGGGGCTGCTGGAGGTGTCTTCCTGTTGAACAGGAGTTCTTCCTTCTCAACATTACCAAGTACTTGTTCATAAAAAATCTGATCATTAAAGATTCCTCTCTCAGTACCTTTCTCAAAACAACTGTTGTTGTAAATTGGTGCTATATAAATACAACTTCCTGTGCCTGCGTGGGTTTCCTCCAAGTACGCAATAGTCCTCCCACATCCCTAAGAGATGTTTGTTAGGTTAAATGATGATTTGAGCCGTAGGTGTGATTATGATTACTTTCTATCTCTGTCTGGTCTGTGATGGACTGGCAGGCTATCCAGAGTGAACACAGATTCTGCTAGAATAGACTTCATCCATCCATCTAAAGAGAGTGGATGGATATTACTGATCCAATTAGAATTTTGGCAGAATTGTATATACAATATGTACATATCATATGCACAATCTCACACATTACAAGAAATTGTTTTAATATGGACTAAAAATTTAGCTCGAATAATATGAAAAATATGTTGAAAAAAACAAAAATACACATAAAATATTAAAATCCTAAGTCTTCAGAAAACTATAAGAGGTGTGTCATCAGCACCAAACAACACCAAAGGTAGAACAGAACTTTGTTTGAAGGACCCTTGGGCTTTAAGCCTGTTGCACTCAGTAGGTATTTCTTGCATCACACTTGTGAACAGTCTAATAAAGGAAATGCCACTATTCTTTTAAAAGCTGTTAAACAAATAACAAGATGTGATGTGCTTTTCTAACCACAAGACATTTAATAAAGGGAATAAAAGCTCCAGTAAAATCCAGCCGTCTCTCAAGCAGTCATGAGGGAACACCAGCCAGTTAACTTAATTACTGCCTGCAAACAAAAAAGCAATTTCTCCGCCTGGATTCATTTGCTTATCATCGAGTGCTGAATAAAGACTTTGTAATGAGACCGCTGTTTGTGAGAAGCACTGGTGTATTTTTCCACAAAAAAACATGAGTTGAATAACTGTGCGTGGTGACAAGCAGCGCTTAGGAAGAACGTCATACCCTAGCCTTACATCCAACTTTACTGTATGTCCCCTTTCTGAACTGTTTTTCCTGCAGCTTTAAGTACTAAAGGTATGTGAACCATATGGCACGGGGGAAAACATCTGTTTTGATTGGAGAAGGGAGGCATCCTCTAAGGCTGCCACTGAAGCTGCCAAAAAAGATACTGTACTTGTGTGCGTTTGCATTTTTTCTTCATTTTTAGCCACACGACTAGGAATGAACTGGACAATGGAGCCATCACTGTGTGCCAGATCCCCTATCCCACACATCCACAATGACGACAGGACGCATCCAAGCGTGCGCAGCCTTCATGCTTAGAGTGAATTGCAGCACTCACATTGCTCACTGCTCACAGAGGAAGCCTCGGGGCACGCTGAGATTGGGGCTGAGGAAAAGAGCTCCGCCAGCAGTTGGCAGTGAGGTCGAAGCTGGGTAATCGGAATGGGGCTGGGTGTTGAGGTGAAGAGAGAGTTTTATACTGAAGTGCTGCTCAAACCTCTGTTTGAACTGAAAGGGAATGTTGTAGCTTTAAGCCAGGGATATATCAAATTTCAGAAAAGCAGAATCCTTAATCAGCAGCAGCATGACAAAACAAAACCAGAAATAACAAAGCTGATCAGAAGCTGTGTCTGATATTTATGCGTTTTATTTGATCATTTCGTTGAGCTTTTTCTATTTCCTGGAGTTGCTGTCTAATGCCCAGGACAGTGTTTTTCTCCAAATGTAATCTCTTTGTTATATTAATAAACCACCTTTTGATAAAGATGACATGTTCAACATATTAAATTAGAAACAAAACAATGGAACCTACATGAATGAGAACTTTAAGATATATAGCCTCTGTAGCATTGCTGCCTAAGTTTAGGGGTCAGCGCAAATTGATTGATAACTATCCATTTAAACTAATCCTCAAAGAAAGTGTAAGTTCCATAAGTACTATCACAAGAAAGACAAACAACATGTATTTATTTGAAGTTAAGGCCACACTAACTCATATGAGTTGTGGCCAAAATGTTCTGGAAATCAGTCCATAAAATAATAAAAAAGCAATACCTCATTTCAATTTGTCCAATCTCCCCTTCAGGCTCCTCTTTGTTAAATGGCCGGTATTTAACTCATATTTACTTAGTCCCTATGGACCCCAAAGCGCTTTACACTACATTCAGTCATCCACCCACTGGTGATGGCAAGCTACATTGTAGCCAGAGCTGCCCTGGGGCGCCCTGACAGAGGCGAGGCTGCCGGACACTGGCGCCACCGGGCCCTCTGACCACCACCAGTAGGCAATGGGTGAAGTGTCTTGCCCAAGGACACAACGATCGAGACTGTCAGAGCCGGGGTTCGAACCGGCAACCTTCCGATTACAAGACGAACGGCCAACTCTTGAGCCACGATCGCCTCACATGTTAGCATGTCTGGCATTTATATTTTGTTTCCGTGCAATAGATCTCATTGCATGGATCATTCATTATACCTCTGCTCTGATTCTCTTTACATTTGTGAAAACAAATGTGTGCTCACAATCAAACACCTGACTGATGTGCTGCCTTCAGGGACCGTCTGTTTTTATTAAGCACTGCGGTCAATTCCCAGATGTGTCAAAACACAGCTTCCAAAAAGCTATTTCAAATTATCAGCCGAACTGAACGTGGTCTGGAAAATGCACAAGATGACTTTAACGGCAAGACTGGTAAAATATAAATTCGTATTTAACTTTCAGGAACTTTTCGATCGCTTTGCATTTAACTTGTGCTAGAAAACCCAAAGTATCAAAAAAGTATTATTTTAATGTGGACTGCACAACACTGGTCACTATATTCTTCATTTCCAGTTAATACTTGTACAGCTGCTGTTATTGTGTATGTATATATATATTTATTTATTTATATTTCTTCATACATACTTATATAGTTCTATATTGTGTATTTTGTTGTACAGTTATTTTATTTTCTACTTTAGTTTATATATTTTATCTTATTCTTTCCCAGTTAAATTTACCCTTCATTCTAATTTGTGTTGTACAGTTATTTCATTTTTAACCTTAAATTTTTTTAAATATTTTATTCCTTCCTAGTTAAATTTACCCTTTTTAATTTTTCATATTTATTTCCTATCTTATTCATAGCCTTTTCCTTTTTTTTTCTTTAGGTCACGAGTAGTTGTCTAAGCATTTCACTGCATATCGTACTGTGTATGACTGTGTACGTGACAAATAGAATTTGAATTTGAATTAAAAGAAAGAGTATATGCAAAGTAGCAGATGCACCCATAACTCAGTGCCCTGATTTATCTCTAATCAGCTGATATTTTTTGTTTTTCTTTGTTTTTTAAACATGAACAGCATCTATGAGGTGTGAGGTCTTGGTGACCTACAGACATAAGGAAACACTTTAAACCTCAGCCCTTGGTTGTTGTGTGGCTCTCAGCCTTTATTCTGGCCTTCAGTAAATGGAACAAAGTTCAATCAGACTGAGATCATTTACTTGACTTGGTCAGTAAAGAATAGTCCACCTTGTCACCCTGAAAAGCTCTTTGGTTGCTTTGCATGTGTGTTTATGATCACTACTTTTACCCCCAACATTCAGATTCAAATCAGGCTGCTATTGTTCTGGAAGGTTAACTGTGGCTGTATAAAATTTAAATGAATGCATGGCTGATTGTTGAACAGCTGAGGTGAAAGAGACACTCACATGTCTGGAGAGGTTGTCACTCTTGCAGTCTAAATCATACCTGCAGAGAAAAAGAAAAAAGATTAAATATCCGAACATGGACAGTGGCAGCACAAACTGACTGACAGATATGTGACTGAAAGGGGACCGTAGTGTCATTTTTTTTGCCTTCATTATCTAGAGGCATTAATGCAAGGTACAGCAGTTCTCACTAATCACTGTAAAGAAGCTATTCATGCTTAACACAGGTTTTGTGATGGCGGGACCAAAAGCTTCACTAAAACGATTTCATGCATGTGGGTACATAATTACCAGGCTCAGTACTTTTAGGTCAGGTGAAGGCTTCAGCAATTTTACCACCCAAATTTTCCAGCTTTCAATTATGACAGTTTAATAGCTTTTGGTTTGTAGTCAGTATGTATCCACAATGCCAATTAGATTATTTTAAAAACTGCATAAAATATATTTCAAAAAGAAAGAAATAACACAGAGAAATATTCAGGGAATCAACCAGAGTCAGCATGCTACGTACTGTATTCAATAAACACCACATTTATAAAACTTCATATAACTATCATCTATAGTATTTATATTATATATGCATATGCACATACATGCACCTGCACACAGTCAGACATACACAAACACACCCGTCACGGATTAATGGATCTCAGTGGTCCATTCTTACACTCATAATGAGTAATATAGTGATTAGGTGCTTAAATGCTTTTGGAGGATTTTTGCATCTGGGAATATTGTTAACTTTAAAGCACAACAAGGCCCCGCATTGCCTCAAGGTTTAGCTGTTCTATTTCAGCTAAATCGCAAATCCACTGACTGAAGCAATAAGAAACTCCAATGAGATTTTACTCGAGACATGTACTCTCGAGTAGAGTCTGGGTAGGTCTGGAACCAGCCAGAGAGGCACCAGTCCTGCAGTTTTTGTTGCTGCATCAGGTTATTGTACATGTATTAACATGATGAACGTGTCACTCTAGGTTTGTCATTTTTTATACAGATGTATTTCAACCCAAACTATACTCTTAACCTATAAGCAAGTGCATCTAAGTGCCTAAACCCAACCACACAATTTATTTAGTGTCTAAATCTAAATAACAAGTAAAAATGAAATTAAAAATTAGGTCAAAATTAAACAACTTGAACCAGGTTAACATTTAATGAGATTTAATGACCTCTCAATATTCCTCTCAAAGTTTTTAACTACGGTACATATCACTACTAGTGTTGAGGGTTTTTTTACCTGCCTGTTTGCAACTGTGCTATTTGAAATTGTGTACCAATTAGAAGAGCAGTAATATAGTAGTTTTTATAGTAATTTTTAGTATTGATTTAGTATCTGAGCATCATTTTGTTTGACAGCCCTTCACGCAAGTGACAGGAAACTCCACTGGGTAGACCTGCAACCTACTTGCAGGTCGGGGGACACTCTACTTAGCCTGGTGCTACCACCACCATACTTCAGCAGTATATGATGGATGGATGGAGTGCTCTTGGCACCCAGTATTGTTGTAGCTAGTCTGTCAGTGCACCAACACCAAACAAGATCTCATGTATGGTAAGAGAATGCATTGGATGCACAAGTCCCCTGGACTTTGGTAATACCTGAGAGGATGCTAACACCAGATGACAAAAACATTAACAGAGCGATTGTGACACTGCCTGTAGCACTATAAGCAACAATTCATTTTTACAGTCTGTCCAAACTGAAAATAAGGTGATGTACAATCACTAAATATTCATTCTTCCCTTAATCTATAATGAGTTGTCTGGATAAATCAGTATCCCACCAGGGGCAATCTGATAACAAACTTTTTGACTCAATGGAAAAATTGGACCAATAATTTTTTGTTTTGTTTTGTTTTGTTTTTTAGCTGGATATTTGGTTGTGTTACACTAGTGGGTAGGAAATGTGGCCTTGAGCCATTAACCTGAAACAGAGCCCTGAAGCTTCGTTCTAACTCCCTCAGTTTTCACTTTTTATTCAGACCCAAAAGACACTGACTCAAATGTAATCACTTTAGGCAGCTTAACAAGCTTCACTTGGCTCCTTCTGATGCTGTTGAAGGTTTTACTAAAAACTAACAGGCTTTCTCTTGAGGCATGCAGTGTTAATTTTCTGGTGCCCACCGAGCTTACAGTTGTCAAATGAAAAAATAAATGTGGCAGATCTTGCAGATTTATGACTTCCATCTGTGATTGCCGCTTCCCAACAAACGCTCGTAAAGGATTCAGAAATGAGCAATTCCTGTATTTGCCCATCCTAACATTGGTCCAAAACCAAACGCAGCAGCTATGTTGTGCATGCCATCTAATCTACTTGGCTCCCCACAGAGCAATTTATCCACCTTTATTTATTTCCTGCACCACGGAACCTCCTTCGGTGTGTCAGGTGTGTGTCAATATGCGAGTGCGGTGTATGTGCAGCAGTGTGCAGCCGAGTGTGTAAATGGAAGAGCCTGAGCGTTTCTTTCTACAGACAGCATGCCATGTACGATAAGGCGCCTGCTGACAAAACGGGGAGATGCCGTGTGTCACTACAGGATGTGGAAGAGAGCTCGAGTACAGTGCCATTACTAATATATTTCCATAAGCGCAAGGAAGACACGCTACTGTTACGCAACACGCTGCCAGCAAAATGCACAGGTGCGCTTCATGTTCTATTCGCCCCTTGCCTCTGTCACTCCCAAAGGTTCATAAATGACTCATTTAATTTTATTTAATTATAAGAGACCCAAAGAGAGCAAGAGATAAAAAAAAAGAGAGGGAGCACGAGGAAAAAAAGATGTATGTATGATGATTTGGCGGCACATGTTCACCCGCACATACACACGAACACACACAAGAGTGCTAGAGTAGATGTCCCATGGCGTCTTGTGAGTGCACATTTGCTGTGTATGACTGGACGTTCGTGCGTGAATGTTTATGTAGATGACGTCACTCTGCATCGGCACTGGGCCAGACAGGATTTCTCTCGGTCCTGCGCTGTCTGTCTTTGGGAGTGGGGGGTTGCTGCTCAGAGCTCTGTTTGAACTGAGCAACGATGACTAATGACAGCGCACAAATAAATGGGGCCGAAGAGGCAGGCAAACAACAGACAACGGCTCACTGACACTTCAGCGTTGTTTCCTAACAGCTTCATAAACCACTGAAAAGCTTTCAGGCTGACTGACACAAGATATCACACAAATATTTTATTAGCGGCCTCTACACTCACATGATCGAGATGATGTTTTACCAAAAATACTGCTATAAAAGGAAGTGAAAAACCATCCGACCTTCAGCTCATGTAGTCCAAGGCCACTTTATTAAGTTGTATCTTTCTCCCCTTTTGCTTTCAGAAAGCTTTCTTCTGATTGGCTGCCCCTCACAAACAAAAGCTCTGAAAAAGCAGGTGGGTGGAGCTGCAGAGTTATGTGTCTGCCATGACCACATTAAGGATATATCTGCTCACTGAGATCATACCAAACCAAGAGTAGAAAAACTCTCAGAAGCAGCCTGAGACCTGAGCTTTTGGCTTTCAGAGATTCAACACTGACCTCATTATTTGACACCGACCCTGTTGCCTTAGAGAAAAGTATGGTGGCTCTAAAAGGTAAAAAAAAACCTTAAATATCTGTAAATGGAAAAATGAGACACAATAACGTGATGGAACAACTGCAGAAGTAAAAGAGCAAAAAACTTGTAAAGGATTGCATTTAAAAGTATAATACTATATATTTGTTACAGTTAGCAAACGTCTATCTACTGTTAGCTTATCAGCTCGGTTTTTCTGTGTACTTTTGCAACATTTTTCTATTTGCTGTTGTTTCTACTGTTACTAGTATTTTTAGTGTCAACGCATGTGCGCATTTTCACTAGTCACTGTTTTTTCTTCTAAAATGCGTATTATTATGCATTATAAGTATTTTATGATTAAGAATATTGACATGCATGTTATATTTACAAAAAAATAATTAATTTTGGATAGAAAAGTTCGCATCCCAGTGCAGCACTGTGGCACGGTTAGCACTATTGCCTCACAGCATGAAGGACCTTTGTTGGACTCCACCATCTGGCCGGGGCTTTTCTGTGTGGAGTTGCATGTCCGTGTTCGTGTGGGTTCTGTTATGTTAATTGTTACTGTGTTCCTATGTTAATGTGATGAGTGAGTGTGAATGCTTGTCTGTCCCTCTATGTTAACCCTGTGACACACTGGCGATTTGTCCAGGGTGTACACTGCATCTTGCCCTATGGTAGCTGGGATAGGCTTCAAAACTTCTGCAACTAAAACAGAATAAAACAGACTATATTCAATTTTTCTCACACTCTTTTGTTTGATTCCTTGTGTACATACACAGGGAATATTTTGTTCTTTCATCTTGGATTGTGTGTATGTTAGTTTTCAGCCTGCTTCTTTGTCCCAATCACATCTTGTCTATATTTTAAATCTCAATGTTTCCTGTTGTTTTCAGCGTATTTTAATGTTAACATTCTGGATTACAGCAATAATGCAGTATTAATATTACCACAGTGAAAGAGAGGCTTCCTCTAATGCACAAACTTTTACATTTATATATAAAGCTGTGTGTCTTTCACACCGTGCCATCATTTATTTTGTTTTTCAGTTCAAATTCAGTCAATATTTATTGTTTTTTTTTCTTCCCCCAAAATGGAAAAGAAACATGACATGCATTCTTCATGGTGAATTTCTTCTTCTGCTCTGTAAAGGTCTTTGTTTTGCAGGAAATATTCAACATTAATATATTTAAGCAAATCTGACCTTGAAATTGGTTCCACTCTTTTATTCTTGAGTACCTTAAATATTTTTATATAGCTATATCTTTATTGTATTCCTTTTTTGGTGAGCATTTCACTTCATTTTTTGAGGTCTGATCCAATTTGCAACACTTGATTAGACCACCATCCACCCAGGGGGAGCATCTCAAACCATCAAATAAATAAATAAAGTAGGGGAGCATTCGGCATGGCCAGCGTCTATAAGGGCAGTTTGTGGGGGCTTAGTGCTAGCTGGCTATATGGGTCTATTGAAGGGATTTGAGG